AGACAAGAAAGTACTGGAACCTTTTCTGGAGGCCCTTGGGACAGTTGAGCTTGGGAGAAGGGAAGCAGAGGGCTTCCTGGCCTCTCTTGGTGCCCAGGTCCTCTCTACAGGACCTGCGACACAGTCCCCGCTTGTCACCTGTTCATGAGGCTCTTTGAGCTGAACAGACACTTGGACCTTCTTTATACTCCCACACAGAGGTCATACCCCATTAATTTACTACAATAGCCAAGGGTAGCTTGGACCCCAGAAGTCCAAAGCCTGTGACAGGACACACCCAAGGCCCCATGTGGCCTTAGGCTCCCCTTCCCATGACTTGGTAGAAGTCGAGGGCTGACATTGAAGGGTGCCTGTAAGTTCCCTCCGAGTCTGATCCTTCAGTCCAGACCTCTCCCTCTGCCCCATGCACCCCACAGCAGAGTGAGCTCCAGCCCCTCAGGGCACTGGGAGGAGCCTGACCACAGGCGGCTGTGCCCCAGTGAGGAGCAGAGCGACGCTCTCTGGGTCTGCCCTGGAGATCTCTGACAGGGCTGTGCTTCTCCTTCTCCTGCAGGGCCCCAGGAGACGAGGAAGCCCAGGTGGAGAACCTCATCACCGCCAATGGTAACTGTCCGTGACCACCTGCCCAGATGGAAAAGAGGGAACAGAGAGACCCCTCTGTGGCTCAGGAAGGGACTGTTGCCAGGTGCATGGCCTCGCTAGAGTCAGCCAGACATGCTCCCACAGTGCCAGGAGAGGGGGTCTCCAGGGCCTCTGCAGCATTGCCCCCTCACTCCACCAAACAGGCTACTACTAGTGTCACCTGCTATTTACAGAGCATCTGCTTGTGCCAGGCACAGACCCCATATCATTTAATGTGCACACAGCCCCGTGAGATAGGCATCACTGTCCTCATTTTATAACCGAGGGACTCGGAGAGGTTACCAGGTTCCTGTAAGCAGCAGGTAGCAGGGCCAGGGTTGAACCTAGATCGTTCTGACTCGAAATCCCATGGCTGTCACCTCTTTGCTCCCCCAGAGTCAGGCATAGACACGGCTGCTGTTGGGGGTGGCCCACTGGGGTGAGGAGTCTATATACTATCATCCATTCTGATTTTCTTTCCAGCAACAGAGCCCCAGAAAGCAGAGAACTGAAGTGCAGCCGTCAGGTGGAAGGTGAGATGCTCACTGCCTGGATCGGCCCCTGTCGCCATCACCGTCTGCATCAGGGCCTGGACAGGAGTTCAGGCAGGAAGGATGGGGCTAGCTTTTGCAGTGGGCACAGTTTTTACTGAGGAGCCTTCAGAAGTCTGAAAGGGGCTGTGAGAGAGACCAGGACCAGAAACACCCAAGGTGTCCCACACATGTGCATGCAAACACCAGGAAACGGGGCTTCCACACAGCCCAAAGGCCGAGTGCATAGGGCATCATCCCAGCTGCCACATGGGGAGAATTAAGAGTTAGTGAAATGCTGCTAATCACAAAGTGGCATAAAGATAACGACTTTCCGTGCTGATTCAGAAAGTACTTTAGGGCCACTTTTTTTTTAAAACACCTTATTATGAAACTTCCCAACCCCACCCAAAAGTAGAGCAAATAATATATGATCCTTCCCTCTCCACATTTAGGGGCACTGATTTTAGCATCTACTTCCATTGTTCATCATAGGGGTCACAGGAGAGTAGTAACTGGCAAATGCTGTACGGTTTTCAGAGTGCAGCCACACACACAGACTCACTCGAGTCTGCCAGAAACAGAGGATGGGACAAGTGGGGTTTAGCCCATTTTATAGATGAAACCAATGTCAGAGGGAACAGCCCCATGGAGAGTGACAGACCAGACTGTGAACTCAGGCCTTCGTGGCCGTAGTTCAGCGCCACTGCTCCCCTCCGTCCTGTGCGTCTTGCTTTATGACATGCCCTGGAATATCCTAAGGGAAAAGGTTTGTCTTTTGTCAGCTCACTTCTGCCTTTTTTTTACCCCCATACAAATAAGGCATCATAGAAAGGTATATAAGTTTATCTTAGATTGTAAGTTAAAAGAGGTTTCTGGATGATAAAGTGCCCGACGCACCAGCTTCTACTGTGGTCATAACAGTGCAGTGCCTGTGCAGCATTTAAATTCTTTCCTAAGTGCTTTTGCATCTTCATAGCAGCCCATGATGGGCAGAGCTCATTACTCCCGTCTTCTGGATGGGGCTCTCGAAGGCAAGTGATCACCCTAAGTGTGAATGGACGAAGATCCTGACCTAGGAGGCAGGTGCCCTTCCTGGTAGCTTGGGGTCCTGTCTATTTCATCACAGACTGAGAATCTATGGGAAGGCTCAGAGGAGGCAGCCTGGAAATGAAATGTCTTTTCGTTTTTTTTCAAACTAGTTCTTTCTCAGAAACCTTTTATCCTAAGGCTCAGGACTGTGAGCAACCACTGGGGAGGCCCTGGGTTTAACAGTTTCCTTTCTGTGTCTGCCAGGCTCCAGCCCACCTGGGAGAGGCTTCCTCTGAGGTTCACCCCTCCCCTGTGTCTTCGTCTCCTTTCTCTGTGTCTCAGAAAGGCTGTCATACCAGGAAGTTCAGTGGGCAAGTGCTCAAGGAAGGGAGAGAAGCAGATAAGGATACCAGAGGCGAGCTAAAGTGTTTTTAATTTAAATTCTCCTCCTCCTCAGCCTCTGGAACCTGAAGGTGGCTGCTTGAACCTTTGGATGCAAATGTCGATGCTTAAGAAAACCGGCCACTTCAGCAACAGCCCTTTCCCCAGGAGAAGCCAAGAACTTGTGTGTCCCCCGCCCTCCTATCCCCTCTAACACCATTCCTCCACCTGATGATGCAACTAACACTTGCCTCCCCTCTGCAGCCTGCGGTCCTGCCCACCTCCTGTGATGTGTCTGTGTGTATGTGTGTGAGTGTGTGTGTTTGCTGACTGGTCTTCGTGGCTACTTGTTCGTGGACGGTATTGTGTTTGTTAGTGAACTGTGGACTTGCTTTCCCGGGCAGGGGCTGAGCCACATGGCCATCTGCTCCTCCCTGCCCCCGTAGCCCTCCATCACCTCCTGCTTCTAGGAGGCTGCTTGTTCCCCGAGACCAGCCCCCTCCCCTGATTTAGGGAAGCGTAGGGTAAGAGCATGGGCAGTGGTCTTCAGTTGTCTTGGGACCTGGGAAGGTTTGCAGCACTTTGTCATCATTCTTCATGGACTCCTTTCACTCATTTAACAAAAACCTTGCTTCCTTATCCCACCCGACCCCAGTCTGAAGGTCTCTTAGCAATTGGAGATACAAAGCAAGAAGCTGGTGAGCCCAGCGTTGACTTCAGGCAGGCTATGTCCTTCCATGGTCAATTTCTTCCCTGGGGCTTCCACAAGGAGTCCCCATCTGCCCTGCCCCTTCACAGAGCCCCCGGAGATTCCAGGCCCAGGGCTTCTACTCTGCCCCTGGGGAATGTGTCCCCTGCATATCTTCTCAGCAATAACCCCATGGGCTCTGGGACCCTACCCCTTCCAACCTTCCCTGCTTCTGAGACTTCAATCTACAGCTCAGCTCAGCTCATCCAGACACAGACTCCAGTCCCTGCCGTTGGGTCTCTGGCAGGCAATAGCTGAAGGACTCCTGTTCCGTTGGGGCCAGCACATTGGGATGGGTGGAGGGAGAGTAGAGGCCTTTGCTTCTCTGCCCACGTCCCCTTAGATGGGCAGCAGAGGCAACTGGCGCATCCTTCGCTCTGCCTGTTGGCAGTCAGAGCGGCGAGCGAGGTGGGTTGGAGACTCGGCAGGCTCCGTGCAGCCCTTGGGAACAGTGAGAGGTTGAAGATCATAACAAGAGTGGGAACTCAACCCAGATCTCGCCCCTCCTGTCCTCTGTGTTCCCGTGGAAACCAACCAAACCGTGCGCTGTGACCCATTGCTGTTCTCTGTATCGTGATCTATCCGCTCAACAACGACAGAAAAAAGGAATAAAATATCCTTTATTTCCTAGTGGCTCAGAGGTGCTTTCCTTTCTGTGAAAGAACTTGAGTGTTTGTAGGGCCTGTGGAACTTAAAGGGCCAGAGGGAGTCTGTCCGTGGTCAGAGGGAGGAAGCAAGGACTGGAGAGCCAGCCAGGTAGGCACAGAGCCCTTCAGCGGCTGTCACTGTTGCCTCCTCCTCGCTTCTCTTCCCTCCCTTTCCTTTTCTTCCTTCACTTTCCTCCTCTCCTGCTCAATCCTTCCTCCCCACACCTTCCCACCCTTTCTCTTCCTCCCTCCCTCTCTCCCACCTTCCCAGGCCACTGGGCTCAAGCCACATCCCATAGCAGGACCTGTACATTGCACACCATCTTGGAGCAAAAAAGGGAGTCACAATGGCTTCTCCAAGTACTCAGTGGCCTGGAGTAAAACATCGTAACATTTCTCTTTGGTCAGTTCTGGGGCCACTACCTAAGGACTTGAAAAGGAAGCCGGGGGTGGTGACTCACACCTGTAATTCCAGCAACTTGAGAGCCTGAAGCAGGAGCATTGCTTGAGGCCAGGAGTTCAAGACCAGCTGTGCAACATGGTGAAATCTTAGCTGGGCATGGTGGCGCACACCTGTGGTCACAGCTGCTTGGCAGGCTGAGGCAGGAGGATTGCTTGAGCCCTGGAGTTCCAGGCTGCAGTGAACCATGATTGCACCATTGCACTCCAGCCTAGGCAACAGAATGAGACTTTGTCTCTAAAAAGAAAAAAGGAAGGAAGGGATCAAGGGAGTGACAGGGTGAGTGACGTGCATTATGAAATACTCCTTCCTCTATGGAGCCTTCCTGGGTGTTAGGTAGAATTGAATCCCTTCCTTTTTTTTTTTTTTTTTTTTGAGATAGAGTTTTGCTTTTGTCACCCAGGCTGGAGTACAGTGGCGTGGTTTCGGCTCACTGCAACCTCTGCCTTCTGGGTTCAAGCGATTCTCCTGCCTCAGCCTCCTGAGCAGCTGGGATTACAGGTGCCCTCCACCGCACCCAGCTAATTTTTATATTTTTAGTAGAGATGGGGTTTCATCGTGTTGGCCAGGCTGGTCTCGAACTCTTAGCCTCAAGTGATCCACCTGCCTCGGCCTCCCAAAGTGTTGGGATTACAGGCGTGAGCCACCACACCCAGCTGAATCCCTTTCTTGTGCCCCAATCACACTTGTTTGCTGCCTTTATATTCACACTTCATACTTGGCATTCAGACTGTAGAGACCAGGCAGGTAATGCCAATATGTGAATATGCTGGGGAGACGATAGGGCATGGTGCCTGCTGTCACCTACAGTGTCCTTCCAAAGACATTCTGACTCAACTTTCTAAAAAGCACTGTTGGCTGAACAAACACAGATGCGGGCAGATTCTGCATGGAGGTTGCCCGTATGCAGCTTCTGCCTCTAGTGTTTTGTGTCTTTATTGATACAAGTCCTGGAGGGCAAGGACTGTGCCTGCTCTACAGAAGCCTGGAACATCTTAGGGTCTCAAGAAAAGAATCAACCCCTGGAATGTCTTAATGTCTTCCATCTTGAAGCCAGCACTTAAGGAGTGGAACCCTCCGGGCCCACCTCCTTCCAGCCCCACCTTCTAAGACCCCAGTGAACCTGGCACCTGAAGCTATAGCAGGAGACAGAATTCAGTGCTCCTTGGGGTTTTGATGGGCCTAGGAACCACCACCTTCCCTGCCCAGTGGCCACACAGGCCCTGAGTCCGCCTGGATTCTGCAAGGTGTTTAGAACCGAAGAACTGCACAGATCAGCTTGTTCGGTGCCTTCTCTACGTGTGCTCTTGCTTCTGCCTTCAGTCCCCCAGGCCTTTGGAAAGACTCAGGCTTATGGTGGAGCTCAAGCTCAACCTGTCAACCCAGTGATCATGGTGATTAAAAAATATCTGGTCACAGCTAGACCTGGTAAATGAGCTTATTGTTCAGGAACACTTGTGATACATCAGGGAATTGGCAGGCCTTGCAGCAATTTCAGAGCAAGGCCAGACTGAGACCCTTAGAGTTCCCAGGCAGGCAAAGCACTGTGTGTGCTGCCCCCATACATTGTTAAAAACAGAACATTACACTTCAGCATAGGAATAAGGAAGTCCAAGGAGGGGGTTCTCATTTTTCTCATAATAATTAAGAGTAAGGAATGATGGTCAGCATCTTTAGCACATCACCTACAAATGGTTCTCCTTACTTTGCCAGCCTCTAAGCACTCACTTAGTTTTCCTTCTGGTAATCCAGCTGTGTTCTGAGATCAGTCAGAGGTACAATAGTGGCTGGTCCAGTTGGGGGTGGAGAAGCTAGGACTTGACCCCAGGCTGTCTGTCCACAGCGCTTGACAGCACGTGGCCTCGCCTCCTTCAGAAAGCAGATGCTTGGATGAAGGGACAGTGATCAGATGGCTCCCAAGACTGCACCTGGAGCATGGCTGTCCCTTAAAGACGAACTAGCTGGACCGTGCTCCAAGAAGCCTCCTGTGGGAGTTGAATGGTCTGGAAACAAGACACATGAAGAACAATCGAAGAAATGATGGTCAAAATAGTAATAATTAAAAAAAAAAAAAAAACAAGAGCAGCTGACGTTTATGGAACACTTACTATGTGTTTGTCTGCGGACTTCACACAGATCAACTGGATCAGAGCTCAGAGTGCTATACATCTCCGTGAGGAGGACCAGGTGTGTCCACTCAACCTCCAGGCATGTGGCACTGGTTTGTAGCTGTGATTTGGTTTAACGAGGCAAATGTAGCTTGACTGTATAGGAAGGACAGCTGCCATACTGTGTCATTTCCCAGAAGGGAATCCCAAGTTCCCTGGTCTCAGTGACCTCAGATGTCCCACACGTTTTGCCTCCCAGTGACTCCCTCCACCCCCCGCCCCCCACCATTCCATTTCGAAGACCTCCATGTCTCTGCATGGAGGTTTTTGCGTTACTTACCCCTACAGTAGGAATAGGTGTCAGTCTGCCTTCTGGGACCCCAGGTGCTGTGGCCCTCCTACCTCTCTGGGTTTTTTGTTTTTTTGTTTTTGCAAGATGTAGATTAGAACTTGTCCAATTGTTCTTGGAAGAGAGTCAGAGGCAGAGTGCAAGCTGTAGGGAGCGGTGTGAGGGGAGTGCCAGGCGAAGCGCACTCCAAGGTCACTGGACTGTTGGCCCCTTCCTCTGGGAGGAGGGCCTTACCCTGCCTGGATTCATGGGCTTGGCGGGGTAGCTGGGCAAAGCAGGGGTGGGAGAGCACTCCAGCTCTGTCTGGTTCACCCCACCTTGCTCCTGGCTGCTCTGCCTCACCCTGGGCCCAGCGAGAGAAAGGTCAGGTGTGTTTGCCTGAGCCAGGGGAGGAGTTTTGGGAAAACCTGTCTCCAGGCCACAGAGAAGGAATGGCCACCTCTCTCCATTAGTGTGATTCATTGCTGTCACAGCTGAGCTCCAGGGGGGCAGACTCAGCCGGCCCAAGCCAACCAGCTGTTGATTTGATGGGGCCAGCCCAGCCCCGGGCCTGGTTGCACAACAGTGGAGCACCTGCCAAGGCAATGATGGCAGAGCAGGTGATGCTGTGATCACATGTCCTGAAGGACCTGGGTGGCAGTGACTGGTGGGGAGGGGCCCCCCTGCACTGTCCAGAAGAACAGATTCCTACCTCTGAGCCAGGCTGGAGGAAGTCTGGTGGAGCCTGAGGCTCAGAACATCCCCGAGGTCCCCTCTGCTCTAACTGTGTGAGCTTGGAAAGACCCCAGCCTCTCTGTCAGTTTCCTTTTCTGAATAATCAAGTCCTTCCTAGCTTTGGGGTAAGCTGGGCCTCCTGCTAGCTGTGTAACCCTGGAAAAGCCACTTAAGCTTCAGTTTCATCACCTATAAAATAAATGCATCAAAATCTTTTCTGTTATCTCACAGGGTCAAAGTGATACAATGGACATCGAAGCACCGTGACAATTCTCCATGTAGCTATTATGCTATTAATGTTGGCATTACTATCCGTTTCCTTGTCTCCTCATTCTCTGATGGCCGGGTTTCTCTTGTCTCTGTTAGACTTGGGTTCACTTTCTGACCCGTTTGCAGACCACCTGCGGTGTCCTCTGTAAGATGGGCATCGCACAGCCTGTCTGGCTGAATTGTTGGGAGGCTCTAAGCAGCAATTTGGAACCATCGAGACCCTGGAATAGGTGGAATTGCTGCCAAGTGTGGAGAGTGAGCACGAGGCTCAGTGCAGGTACAAACATTTAACAGCTTACCCGACCTGAGGCCTCAAGGAGGCCAGGGACTTCGCAATCAGTGCTATAAATGAAGAGAATGGTGACACAACCACATGCCAGCCATTCAAGCCATGTCAGTGGCATCCGGAAGGTCGTGGAGGGAAGGAAAGAGTAGCCAGGGGTGGGCTTGCTCCGCGAGGTCTTCCCAGAGGCGGCGAGCCTCAAGCTGCTTTTCAGAGGTGAGGGGGAGTTTGGTTACCGGGAGGAGAAAACTAAGAAAAGCTGGAGAGAAATGGGCTCTGTGGTAGTTCAAGCCTGGACGAGAGTTCTGAGAACAGTCAAGAATGCATTTCTCTCCAGGGTATTCACTGTGGGAGAGGTGGGTCAAATGGGTTTGCCCTTGTCACCAGCTGGTGACCTTGACTCTTAGAGTACATTGCCCTTTGGCAGTTCTCAGAACCTCTGTGCACCATGGCTCAGGCCATCTTGAAGCCAACACTTAAGGAATGGACCCTCTGGGGCCCACCTCCTTCCAGCCCTGCCTTATAAGACCCCAGTGACCTGGCACCTGCAACCACAGCAAGAGACAGGAGCCAGCGTTCCTCAGGATTCAGGACCTCTGAGTGGCACGAATGGGGCCTGGGAACTGCCGCTTTCCCTGCCCAGTGGCCACACAGGTTATGCAGCTGAGGACTGACTTGGGCTGGGGATCATGGCTTCCTAGGTCTTCTGGCTTCTGCTTCATTGCAGCCCCTTTCCAGCTGCAAGTCAACACCAGGAGGAACTGACTTGGGGACCTGGAGTTCAAGGCTGTAAACTCCCACAAAGGCCAGAGCCGGCGGAGCTGGAGAGCCCCATTTTGGGAAGCTGGTGGTGAGGGCCTCTGCCTTTGATCGCCAGGGAGACAGAGGTCAGCTGAATTCCAGCCTATTTCCTCCCTGCCCCACCAACCCCGCAATGACCACCCCAAATGACTGCCTTGAGATTTAGGAGTCAGGAGACAAAAGGGAGGCCTGCTTGGGGGAGACAGGGGAGACCGAGGCCTCGCCACTGAGGGCACTGTCTCATCAGCTGTGACAGTGCTGACGCATCCAGGAGTGGGCGCTGCCTCTCCTTACCTCCCAACATCGCCCAGAGCTCTGGGTCTTGGAGAAAACAGGAGAGCACAGCTGGATGCTCCGTCTCCAGCCTGGAACCATCAGACAAAGGAGGTTTCTTGGTTTTGTGTGGAGACGAAAGGGAGGCTGGAGATGCAGGGTGAGTGGTGACCAGCAGGGATCATGCCAGGGCAGGGTGCTCCCAGGAGCCTGCTTTAGAGATCACTCCAACTGGGGACTGAGCCAAGGGAAAGGATTGCCGTGAGTGTTCTTGTCTCCTGGGGAGACCAGTTCAGAGTAAGGAAAACACAGCCATCATTTTTTCTCTGGCCAAAAGCTCGACCTACCTTGTCTCTGTTCCCACAACAATCCTGCAAGGTAGGTGTTATTACCCCATTTTCCAGGTGGAGAAGACCCAGAGGGGTGCCCTTGCCCAGGGTCAGGCAGTCCTCAGCAAAGTCTCAGGATGAAAGGGGATTTGTGTATGGGTGTGTCTGGCCCTCAGGGTGCCTTGCCTGGAGATGTCTATGAGGAGAGACCCTCCTGAGCTGAGCTGCTCTCAGGACCATGGGCCCCAGGTGGAAGGGCCTCGACCTCTCTGCAGGAGAGCAGGTGTCTCAGAGAGGCACTCTCTGTCCCAGTGCCAGCTACGATCCATGACCTGAGCTAGCTGGGGGAGAACAGGAAGGAAGTCTGAGAAGGACTTAAACGTGAGTGAAGCGAGAGGGGTGGGACCTGCTTGACTTAACAAATGCCTGGGTTTCCCCCAAACAACAAACAGGACAATTTCTGAAAATTGTTGCCGGACTGGAGAAGGAAGGGGAGGTTAAGGAAGAGGAGAGGGGGTGGGGATGGAGTGCAAGAGGAGTGAGAGAGAACCCTCTGAGAGGGACTCTGGGGGAGCTGTCAGCAAGGTGGGGGTTGCTGCCTCTGTGAGGGCAAATCGGGTCTTGTGACTCCTCACAGGACAGGCGACAGCATGGAAGGAGGCTGCCTGAGAAAAGTCCTGTGTCTGCCTGCAGCATGGGAGAAATGATTTCACCTCTGTCCTGTCCCCATTTTTGCCTGATTTTTGCCTGGGACTGATTCATTCACTTTATAAAACTGGGTCCCACGATGTGCTGTTCCAGGCATGGGGAAATGAAGAAACAAACAAAAATCCTTGCTCTTCTGGTGCTTAGATTTTAGTTGGCAGAGGGACAAACAAGATAAGGGAAACACATACCTTAGGTAAGAACAAGTGCCACAGAGGAAAAGCCAGGCTGAGACGGTGGGTGTGAACATTTTATACAGAGATGCCCAGAATCGGGGCTTTGGAGAAAGCCCTGAAGCCAGTGTGCGCTGAGCAGGAAGCCCTGTGGAGGCTGAGCATATAGGAAGCAGGAACAGCCCGTGTGGAGGTCCTGGAGGGTGAGGGGTGTCAAGAAGGCCGGCATGGCTGGAGCAGAGAGCAGGGCAGGGAGGTCAGGGACTAGCTCAGAGGTGCCTGGAGCCAGATTAAGAAAGGCTTTTTGGCTGGGTGTGGTGGCTTACGCCTGTGGGGGATCACCTGAGGTCAGGAGTTCGAGACCAGCCAACATGGCGAAAACCGGTCTCTACTAAAAATAAAAAATACAAAAATTACTGGGCTTGGTGGCGGCTCCTGTAATCCCAGCTACTTGGGAGGCTGAGGCAGAAGAATCGCTTGAACCCGGAAGGCAAAGGTTGCAGCCAACTGAGATCACGCCGTTGCACTTGAGCCTGGGCAACAAGAGCAAAACTCCGTCTAAGAAAAAAAAAAAAAAGAAAAAAAAAAGAAGGACTTCTTTCTGGACACAGACAGATTTTGGCGTATCATCTGAGCCCTCTCTGAGGATTTTGAGCAAGAGAGGGAGCCACTTGTAAAGGGAGGGGTTTGAATGGGATGGCCTTAGTGTCCTTTCTAGTCGGGCCCTCAATCACACGGGCTCTTGAGATAGAAATGCCTTCCTTCGCAACACTGGGGGCGGGCAGGGAGTGTGTACTGGCAGGGTGGGTGGGGGGGGATTTGGCTGAGAGCTCCACTTTTCTGAACCACTTAGAATATGTTTGGACCAGGTACCTCTAAGTCTTACCCAGCCTCGAGGTTTGTAAACTTCTCTATCCCCAGCTCGGGGAATTTCCACTGGGCTGCTCTGGGCTGAGGGGGCAGGTTTCCACTTGGGAGCATGGGACAGGCCCGCCTGCCAGCCGAGCTCTTGCCTACCCCAGGGCAGGGCTGGCGTTGCCTCCAGGGTGGTCTGGAGGAAAAGGTGCAGAGAGCCTGGAGTCAGGGCTGTGCTCAGGGACCCCAGCGCTGATCTCAGCCCATCCTGATAAGAAATAGCACCTCTCTAGACCTCCTGGTCTCCATTTCAGCCCTGTGAGGGCTCCCTGGGATGTCATGAGTCCTCCCCTCAGGACAGGGAGTGTTGCAAAGGAGGGACAGAGAGGCAGGAGCCACAGTGACCAGGGCCCGGTCAGAGGCTGGGGCCAGAGCCAGCCCCTCCCAACCCTGCTTCTCTGTGTCCGCGTTGGGGTGGCCGTGCCAGGGCGGCCACAGGAACCTAAGGGAGACCCTGTGGTCCCAAGTCAGCCACACAGAGACTGCTCACTGCAGCTTAGCTGTGGGCAAGGCCTTGGTGGCCGAGGAACAGAGACTGCCTGGGCAGCGTAGTGGGCTTCCCTGCGTGGTGGGACACCCTGCCTAGTGGGCTGCTGTGCCTGGTGGGGCTCCCTGCGGCTCCCTGCTGGCTCCTGGATCTGACCCTGCCCTAGGCCCAGCAGTGTTGTCTTCTGGCCATTCCCCTCTGACACCAACCAGCAGCCCCCAGAGCCTCATTAGGCAGCTGGTGTCTCCAGCTGAGCCCTCTGAGGTGTGAGAGGTGGGCCTGACATCACAGCCGGGGTGAGCCACTGCGGGCTGAGTGAGCCACTGCGGGCTGAGTGAGCCACTGTGGGCTGAGTGAGGGGTCTCAGCTGCGGAAAGGGCAGGCCACAGGAGCAGCCCCCATCACAGCTCCGGCTCCCAGCCCCGCAGCTGCTCCCCATTCTCTGCCAACAACCAGAACGACACAGGAAGCTGGGACCGGTGCCTTAGGTCCCAGGACAGGGTCCTGGAAACCATTCCCACTCCCCCGAGAGGCTGCAGCTGGGCCTCCCAGTCTCAGGGGACGCCTAGCTATAGACTGGGTCTATAGTCTGGTCTATAAGACTGGGTCTTGGGCAGGATACATCCAGGCAACGGCCCAGCTGGGCTGGAGGACGGAAGTGCAGCGGAGTAACGTTCAGGGGACCCATCCAATGCCCCTGAAGGTCTCCCTCAGCTGCCACCAGCCCAGGGACCTGGGGAAGACTGGGTTCCTTGATTCCTCCTGGCTCCTGTACCCTTTTCAGGCACCCTGGGCTGGCTGTGGCATGGACCCTCTCGAGGGAGAGGGCCGGGGCTGGGGCTGTGGTTGGCTCTGCTGCATCTGACGGCCTCTCCATCTCCAGGTGCCAGGTGGAGGTCAGAGAATCTCCCCTGGCTTTCACTGGATCCCTTGCCCCAACCTGCCCCAGCAAGTGGGCACGAGGTAAGGGCTCCCTTGCCAGCCCCTCCTCCCTGCCTGTGTCTCTTCCTGTTTGTGGGCTCACCTGAGGTGTGAAGGGAGGGAGTGCCACTCTCCATCCAGGCCCCGGGCAAGCGGCACCTCCCTGCTCTCCTGCACTCCTGGAGACAGCCAGCAGCTCCTGCTATGGACAGGTGGTACCTGGGTGAGTCCTCTGAACCCCATTCCTCCTCCCTGCTCAGGCTCTGACACAGGTGCCAGCCCCGTCCCTTTCAAGTGCACCCACAAGCTCCTCAGAAGCGCAGGAAAGGCAGAAGGGAAGAGAGGCAGAATGTTCAAAAGAGAGCATCTCCATACGGAGTCGCGGGCCTGCTGTGAAACGTGGCAGAGCATCTCTGAGCTGCGAGGGCCGGGAAGGCAGCTTGTCCAACCACCTCATTTACTTGTCTGTCCATCCGTCCTTCAGAGATGCAGGAACTCAGAAGCCAGACTGCTGGCTTCAAATCTTGGTTCCCCTACTTTCTGGCCATCTGACCTCAGGCAAGTTATTTAACTTTTCTGGGCCTCAGTTTCTTCCTCTGTGAAATGGGGTGATAATAATGCCTTCCTACCTTGTAAGAGTCATTGTGATGACTAAAGAATTAATTTCTAGCCGGGTGCAGTGGCTCATGCCTATAATCCCAGCACTTTGGGAAGCCCAGGCAGGAGGATCATCTGAGGTCAGGAGTTCGAGACCAGCCTGACCAACACGGTGAAACCCCGTCTCTACTAAAAATACAAAATTAGCTGGGCATGGTGGCGCATGCCTGTAATCCCAGCTACTCAGGAGACTGAGGCAGGAGAGTCACTTGAACCGGGGAGGCGGAGGTTGCAGTGAGTCAAGATCACACCATTGCACTCCACCCTGGGCGACAATAGCGAAACTCTGTCTCAAAAAAAAAAAAAAAAAAAAAAATTAATTTCTGTAAAGTGTTTGAAACGGTGCCTTGCACACAGAGTTTAAAAATGCAACTAGCTTTCAACTATTGTTTCCTATTCATCTCTCTACTGATCAATCTATCATCCATATCTACCTACCTATCTATCTATCTATCTATCTATCTATCTATCTATCTATCTATCTATCCATCTATCCGTCTATAGGTGCCTCCCCAGGAACCTCCTCCCCCTGCAGCGGGAGCCCTTCCATCCACACTGCAGCTCTGCTTGTGACCAGGGTAAATATTACCTGGCACTGTTAATGTTTAATGCCCCCACCTCATCCCCAGCCACCCCGCCGAGGAGCAAAGACAGCAGGAAGAGGCAAGAGGAGACAGTCCATTTGGAAATGACTGGGTTGTCAACAGATAGATAGATAGACAGACAGATAGATAGATAGATAGATAGATAGATAGATAGATGAATTTATTTAACTTCCCACTTATTTTTACACTCTTATTATTCCCGAAAGAATCCACGGAGGCTTACAAACATAGACAAAACACAGTAAGATGACACAATCCTGCATAGTAAAGGGAGCACGCTTGTCTTGTGTGGAGATGGCAGTAGCTTTGGTAGCACACCTTCGAGGGTCTGGGCTTTCTACCTCCGGTTTGCCATTAACTGTGTGTTTCAGGTAAGTCCCTTCACCTTCCTGCCCTCGGTTTTTCTGGTATACCCAGTGGGGATCATGACCCTGCCCTGGCCACCTCCAGGGACTATTGTGGAAAGCAAAGGAGCAGCCTCAGTTTCTTTATCTGTGAAACGGCGCTAGCAGGAATTAAGTGATGCAGTGCCTGCCAAGAACCTGGCACATGGTCCATCTTCCCCAAACGCTGGCTCTGCTGGGATGTTTGCACAAATATATATTCCTTGGCTCTGGAAGCAGAAGAAAGCTGCACACCTGATCCTCAGGGCCATGACATTCTCTCCAGCTCACTCATTCATGCCCATTTTCATTGGAGAGTGGCTGGCTTTTCCATGTCCCTCAGCAAACATTTGCCAAAAGCTAATGCCTGTTATTTCTTCAATTGGCACACATGTAACAGTAATAATGATGCCATTCACTGTGTGCCAGGCCCCGGGATACGCTCTTTGCATGCATTATCTCACTTCCCCTCACAACCACCTTAGGAGCTGGGTACTGGGCCCATTTTACAGATGGGGAGACTGAGGCAGAGAGAGGTGAAGTAATTGACTGAGACCATACTATTAGCAAGTGAGAGGGCCAGGGTGTGAACTCAAGTGCCAAGCCCTGCCCCTGCTTGGGGAGGATTCCTAGATAGAGTGGCTCCCTTCAGGAGGGCTCAAGCAGCCCTGGTGGCTGCTGGCCTCTGACCTTGGCTGTTTGGTGGGCATTGGGCTTCAGCCTCCTCTGGAGGCCAATTCAATGGACTAGAACTTAACGAGGATTCCACAGTACCCACGACTACCCAGCACAGGAGTCCCGGGGTGAAGGAAGTCACAGTGGAGTGGGGAGGCTGCCTGCGAGGTGTGGAAAGCAGCTGCCTCCTGCAGCAGGAGGCCTGACTGTCATTCTCCACTTCCCCCACACTGGCTGTGTGACCCTGGGCAAGGCCCCCACCTCTCTGAGCCTTAGACACCTGCCTCATCAGTAAAACGGGAAACATAAAGCTTAAGGAGATAACAATGAGGAAAGTGCTTGGTAAACCATAAAAGCAGGGATTCTCCCTGCGATGAAAGTCTTGCCCCGTCCTTAAGGATCCTGCGTGCGCCGTGGTAAACTGGCAAGGAAACAATCCGAGAGCCAGGCCAAATGGTGGTAGGAGGAAGTGCTGGGGCGGCAGGGAAGGAGAAATTAGTTGGTGATGACTGGAGCCCTTCTGACTGAGGTGTGACCTGCAGGGTGCACGTTGATGGATGAGTAGGAAGACAGATGAAGCGCCCTTCTGGAGGATCTACTGCTGGTGGGCTTTGGGGGTGCTCCAGGGATGTGGTGGGGGAGCAGTGGGCCAGGCTCCTAGGGACCACTGCAGGAAAGCCTCCAGCGCCACATAAGGAACAGCAGCTGCAGCAGTGGCATCCATGGTGGCTGGTGCGGTGGGCCCTGCCTGGGCTGGGGGCCCTGTGGGACCCCTGACACTGCCCCCGGAAGCTCCCAAGTACAGTGTACACTGAAGACACTGTGCAACTTCCACTTTCCTGTTCCCACCGCCCCAGCTGTGGCTTCCCCAGCTGGCAGAGCAGCACCACCGCTGACCCATCCCAGCCCTTCTCTTTGGAAATTTCCTTTGGGAGGGTTTAGAAACTCAGCCAGCTCCTCCCTGCCCCTGCCTCCCCACGCACCTCCTCACCCTGCAGCAGGAGCCCCTCCATCCACACTGCAGCTTTTCTTGTGACCAGGGTAAATATTACCTGGCACTGTTAATGTTTAATGCCCCCGCCTCGTCCCCGGCCACCCCGCGGAGGCAGCCAGACACTCTCCAAAAAGCAGAGACAGCAGGAAGAGGGGAGTGGAGACAGCCCATTCAGCTGGGGAAATGACTGGGTCGTCGATGGACGGTGGTGAGTGTGCTGGTGTGTGTGCCCAGGCGTGTGTGACGCTGGGTGGCTCTGACTGGCCTGCCATCAGCTGGACTCTACTCTTCCCTCTTCTGCCACCTCAGCCTTCCAGAGTACCCAGCCCCTCTTCCTGTCGGCTTCCTCTCTAAGAAAATTTGCAACTTAAAAGAGGACCCTGTTTTAACCCCAAAGAAAGATAACTTGAGTGGCAGAACAGCAGCAGATAGAAGATGGAGGGCTGAGCGTCCCTCCTCGGCCTCCTGGCACACACCCGCCCTGAGTTCAATGCATCTTGCTAGACCATCTGAACTTGGGCAGGAGGCAGACGGGGTCCATCTGGCTGGGGAAGGAGCAGGCCCCTCTGGTCAGCCTTCCTAGGTTGGATTTGGGGTGAGAGCCCCCCAAGTTCAAGTCACCCTCCTCAAAGGCTTCCTGTCACAAGAACTGACTCAGGCCTGGAAACCAAGAGGGGCGCTTGCTGACAGAGGTGGGTTTTGAGCCAGATGCAGAAAGGGGAGGCTGCTGGGCAGAGAGGGTCTCGGCAAGTGGTTCAGGGCCAGGTGACCACGGAGGAGGAGGTTTCCTGGGGTGTGTGGGGAAGCCTTGACTTGGGTCTAGCTGTTGCTCTGACACTTTAATCCACATATGATCTTGAACAAGGCCTGAACCTAATCTGGGAAGACAGTGCAGACGGCCTTCTGTGTGGGACCTGGGTCCCTCATGGTCTCCCTGAGCACCCAGCACCTCAGGCCCGTCAGGATGGGCACTGACTCTTCCTGGCCCGTCCTCTCCTGGCCCAGGGACTGGCTGCTGGGGACAGCTGGGCTTGCCAGACCCTGAGTCTCACCACTGCCCAGGGGCACAGTTTGCCACGGCCTGGAAGGTGCTGACTTGCGCATTCCTTCCTCCTGGGCTCTACTTCCCTGGTGCAAGAAGGGGCTCCAGCAGGGCAGGAAAGTAGTGGCCCTCAGCTGTGGCAGAAGCGTCCCGGCCAGGCCACCTTCTGGCTGTGCGGGGTAAGTGTACTCGGTTGCAGGCCACCACAGTGAGACCTGCCTGCTGAGCAGCTCCAAATCCGGGGGAGGCCACTGGAGGCAGGGGCAGGACCTTGCCTCTGATGGGCTCCTTCCCTCCCGTCATTGAGAGGCGGCAGAGCAAAGGGCTTATGCACCTCCATTCTCAGCCCCCTGCTGCCTGGGTTCAAACCCCAGCTCGACTCCTGACTCGCTGTATAACTGTGGGGGAATTACTTCTCTGTACTTCCATCCTCTTGTGGATTACACCAGAATAACATTGACACCTCATAAGGTTGCTATAATGGTTAGATGAGTTACGCTCTTGTTAGCTTTTGCCCGGTTCCTGACCAGCACTATATATTAATGTTTCTTAACTAGATCTGCTTCCCCTGAGGATGGTAACGTAGGAAAGGAGGTCCGTCTCAGCTATCATTAGGACTTTGGACAAGTCTACACATTGGGCTCAGCTTCCTCCTTCTGTCTGATAAACTTTAAGGTTCTGTTTTATTTATTCATGCATTTCACAAATACCTGCTAAGCACCTGATAGCCAAATGGTCCTGCGGAGAGAGGCCTCTGGGAGTCTAATGGGAGAGGCCTCTCCTGGCCTTTTCTACCATGGTAGGAATCAAGGAGCAGGAGATCGTCTCCCTTCCGGAATGGTCAGAGGCCTCCCAGACAGCACGGATCTCCCTCTGAGACTCGGTATCTGGGCCCCGGTTGATTGTGTCTGAAGCCACCTAGAGCAGAAGCCTGCTGGCAATGGTTTTAGCAATCCTCCGTTCCCAGCCTCCCCTCGCCCGCTTGGACCCTCAGGGGTCCTCTGGGAAGGGAAGGACAGGGAATTCCAGCTGTTCCTGTGGCTGGCCCACCATTGACTCCTCTCATCCCACCTCTGGCTCTCTCCTAGGCGGCAGCCCCAAAGGGGAAGTGGACCCGTTCTACTATGGTAAGCCTGGGCCCCTGTTCACTCTTCCTGAGCCCTCAGGACCCCTCCCACCAAGCAGCAGCCTCTTCCAGTCCCAGGTCCATGCTCTGTGCCCCTTATCTCCCCCCGTGACCACGGGCTGCTGTGGGCGGGCTGCGGGGAGAGATGGCTGCTGGGAGAGACCACCCATCCCACTCTTCTTGCCCTCTCTTTCCCGAGACTATGAGACTGTCCGCAATGGGGGCCTGATCTTCGCCGGGCTGGCCTTCGTCGTGGGACTCCTCATCCTCCTCAGTAAGTGGGGTAGCCTCCAGGGAAGGGGTGCTGGCTGGGGTACGTCTATTCTCAAGGCTGCTGAGCAGGCTGGCTTTCCGGAGTCCCCAAGGAAGGGGTGAGCCTCCCCACCACGCACACCCCCTGCAGGATGTGGGAACAGGTGCCCGGTGGGGTGCCAGGCCCTGGGAGCACAGTGTGAGTTTCCCGCTTGCTCAAATGCACCCTCCAGTGGGCCCAGAAGGAGCCTTGGAGGTGAGAGTGAACCTGCGGGGTAACCGGAGGACCAGGCAGGGGGACTAGGCCCCCTGCTGCTAACCATGGTCCCAAACTCATCCGTTAAATAGGGATGATCCCACCTGCCTCACAAGACGAGGGCTAGCATCCAAATACACAGCAGTCAGAACAGCGCTCTAAGAATGGTCCAGTGCAGACTCGGAGTGTTCTGGGGGAGACAAGGAGACTTACATATCCTCAAGCCCCGAGGGGCACACAGCAGGAGCTTAATAACTGCACATTGACTTGTTTTGGTCCAACCCAAAGAAAAACACACAGAAAACACAACCCATGGAAAGAAGATACAGCAAGCACACCTGTGGGCTCTGGAATTCTATGCACTTGTGCCACTGCACCCCACCCGAAGGCTTGGACACAGTCCTGTGGGTCTCCCCACTTTCCCATGTTGCCCATGGCAGCTCCCGGAGGGGGGTGCGGGGTGGTGGCTGAGCACATAGGCACAGGAGGCAAGTGGCCTAAGCAAGGGGCTCTGCTTTGGACTTGCTGCCATCCTTCTCCAGGTGTTTACTGGGCAACTCTGCTGGGGGCACCATGATGGCCCAGTCTCTGCTGCTGCTCTTGATATGCCAACAGCCCACCATGGATCTGCTCCAGTAAACATTTGCTGACTGACTGACTTAGGTTCTTGAATGCCTGTGATTCAGCCTTACATAAAAAGAAAGAAGGCTGGGCATGGTGGCTCATGCCTGTAATGCCGGCATATTAGGAGGCCAAGGCAAGAGGATCTCCTGAGACCAGGAGTTTAAGACCAGCCTGGTCAATACAGTGAGATCCGATCTATAAAAAAAATTTTTTTTTTTAAATCAGCTGGGCATGGTAGCATGTGCCTATAGTCCCAACTACTTGGGAGGCTGAGGCAAGAGGATTGCTTGAGCCCAGGAGTTTGAGGCTGCAGTGAGCTATGCACCACTGCACTCCAGCCTGGGTGACAGAGTAAGACCCCGTCTCAAAAAATAAAATAAAATAAAATAAAATAAAATAAAATAAAATAAAATGAGACAGTCAAACGTGGCCTCCAAGACTGACCCTGCAGTCTTGACTGGCAGGAGGGAGGCAGGAGAGACTGGAAGAATTTTGAGTCTTCCAGGGTCTCCTTGGAAAACGAGTCCATGGAAACAAATCTCCTTTTCTCTTTTCAAGGCAGAAGATTCCGCTGTGGGGCCAATAAGAAGCGCAGGTGAGCGCTGCCCGGGATGACTGATGAGGGGCTCCGGGCTGGGGAAGAGGGGTGGGCTGAGGATTTTGTCTCTGCCACTGTGGAGGGGTCCCCAGCCTCAGGGATCCCTAGACCCACCCCTCCCCCGGTCCTCTCACCTGTTGCTTTTCCTTCCCCCACCAGGCAAATCACTGAAGATGAGCTGTAACAGCAGGTATGCTAGGAGGGCCAGGGAAGGTGGCAGGAGGGGAGGGCAGGCTTGGGAGCAACCGGGAAGAATTCTGGCTCCTGGACTGGGTAGGGGAGAATTGTAGGGTCATCCACACATCAGCCAGGTGTGTTTCAGATGATTGCCAAGGGCCTGGCGTGCAGTGTGTGCCACAGGAGATCACAGAGGAGCCCTGGAGAAAAGTGAGATTGACAAGGAGGAAATAAAACCCCAACCTCTGCTGCAACCCGCCCAGCCCCAACCTGCCTTTGTCTTCTCAGCCTCGGCAGTGCCACCCACTGCACTGGGGCCAGCTGGGAAGCCAGGCCCTGCCTCTGGTACCTCCCCTTCTTCCCTGGGCTGTAGATCTTTGTCCCCGTCACTGCCAGCGCTTGAGCAGAAGGAAGCTCCAGACTCAATGTGACCCCCAGGTGGTGTCACCACCTCCTGCCCCTTGCCACCTCATGCTCATAATAAAGTTAGCGTCAGAGACCGCTGCTTCTCTCGCCTGCCTGCCTATCTGCCTCCTCTGTCACCACCAGCCTCTCCAAGTTCAAGTACAAATACAGCTGGGTCTCATTTGTTTTTTCAAGTAATTGCTCAGGCACCTGTCTGCCTGTAAAAGCAAGAAGTTCAGTGTTGTCATCTGTAGGCCACTCCTTGTACCCCCTGAACTGGCAGGAGCCCTGGGGACAGAGGCCTCCGCCTGACTTTTATGCACCTGGGATGTCTGAAAGGCCCAGGGCGTCAAAGCCACGGCCCTGTTGGATACCTATTAGGCCTCTGCCCCAGGCGCCAGGCGCTGCTGCTGGGATCCTGGAAGCAACCCTGCCTAGGAGTTGCTGCGGAGAGGCCCCAGGCTACCAAGATGAGCCTGTGTGTGGTCACATTCCTGTGCTCTGCCATCTTCCACATGTACACCCCTGGGCCAGGGTGGGTGGGTCCGAGGGGCCTGGTGCTGGGCCTCCGCACATGTTCTGAAGGAGCCAGCCCTCTTCCCAGCCCCCTCTTGGTACTGAGTTCAGGCCACCTCTTTCCACTCTTGGGGCCACCTATTTGGAGGCTTGGTTAATTCCAGGGCCTGGGGCCAGGGAACAGATGGTGAGAGTGAGACCATCGACACACTTGCTCTAGTCCCCGTCCATGCAGGCAGGGACCCACCTAGGGCAGCCTCAGCCTGAGATGCTGCCAGGTCGCTCTGCCCACCAGTGCCCAACTCCTAATGCCCATGTCCCCTTTGCTATGAGTCCAAGGCTGAGGTCATGGAGGGAGGCCTCTGGGAGCTTCTGCACTCAGGAAGGAGCCCACCTTTCCTCTCCCTCCCTTCACTCAGAGGCCTCTAAGGCTGGAGGGATTGTGGGATTCTGGCACCACCTAGCGTCTGGCTTCCTCATCTGGGCCTGCAAGCTTTTGAGGGAGGGGAGGGGAGAACTGGCAGGAGAACCAAGCTACTGGAGCAGGAAATGAACAGGGCATGTTTGGGGACCAGAGGCAGGATGGATCCCGCTCCACCTGGGAATTAAGCTGTTTGTCTTAATCCACTTCCCCCAGTCCCTGATAACTACCAACTCTCCTAAAAACACAGAAGGCTTGAGCAGGGAAGGGTCCTTAGAGAGCAAAACACACCATCTTCAATTTACAGAAGGGGAAACTGAGGCTCCAAGAGAGGCCGTGGCTTCTCCAGAGTGACATGGCCAGCCTGAGTCAGAGCCAGAGGTAAAATTCAGGTCTCTGGCTCCCCTTCCAGAGCTCTTCCCACCACACGAACATCCAAAGGACGGGGAGTAGTTGGTGGGGCAGGGAGGTGGACTCCCCACTGACTGCCTGGGGGTTTGGAGAGTGAAGGGGAAACAGAGAAGGCCTGGGGTTTGGGGGAGAAACTCCAGAGGAGACCAGGAGCCACACAGAGGAAGGCCTGGTGACTTACAATTCAGCACCAAGTCCTTGTGATACCCCAGTCCAAATGTGGACTCATTGGTGTCGGCCAAACCCTTAAACGGAATGCAGTTTTTCTACGCAGGAGATAGAGGCACACACTTGAGCTCTCCCTTGAGGTTGAGAGAAATGAACACGAATGGGGCAGGTCCAGCCAGGGGGACTTTCAGGAGGAGGGGGGCTCCCAAAGCCTCTTGGACGCAGCAGCAAGGCACAGAGGAAGAGGGGTATTCCAGACCTGTGGCCCCCATAAGAGCACTGGAGAAGAGTCAAGTTTCTAGAATGTTCTAGAATGTTCCATACAGAGGACAATCCAGCCTGCCACCCTCAAAGGGAAATTTCACCTGCTCTGGATGAGTCACTTCCCTTCGCTGACCCTGCCTCAAGTCCTCCCTCCTTATGAAATGTGAGACTTTATCAGGTCTGAACCTGAGGGGCTTTTCAAACTACCACGTACCCAGATTCCCCCAGCCCGGTTGAATATGAGGCTTCGGGGGTGGCCTCTGCAGGCCGAGGCTTAATGAGCCCCATGGCCCCAGGTGGCATTCAGAGGCCTGGGACTTGCTTCCTAGCCAGGACTCTTGTGAACATTTCCCTTCCCTCTCCAGAAAGGTCACATGGGCTGGCAGTTACTGAACTTTCGCTTCACTTTGGGATTTTCCACAATTCAGACCTGCACTGAGTCACAAAGATGTACTAAGCCTGGGAAATGACTGGGTGAATTACTCTTAATCACACAACTCCAACCACGACAGCCTCCGTCTGAGGGCGCAATTCCCTTTCTGACCACCAGAGGGAGCATGTGGCTTGCGCCGAATCCCCTCCAATTGCGTGTTTTCAACTCAACCTTTCCAAGCGCCTTTGCCGGGAGGAGGGGCCCCTGGCTCCTGAATGGTCCGTCTGGTGCCCTGATTTCCTAGGTAAGCCCTCAGCTCTTCTCATTCCGCTTGTTCACCCCCCTAGGTACAACACTTGCCCCACTCTGGGGTAATTCTTGGCTGTGGAGTCTTAAGTGCTCATTCCTTCCCAGAGGCAGAGACCCCATGTGATCTACGTATCTTCCCCAAAGCCTGGGGAACGGCGACGCCTCTAACCCTGTAGTCTGAGTAAATCAACGACAGTAGGACATGGGGAGGGGCAGAGAAGTCAAGCAGGGACGTTTGTGGGGTGGGAGGGGAAAGAGGCTTTGCCTGAGTAGCTCTTCTCACCCCAGCTGCAGTGAATCTGATTCAACTGATGGGACATTGGTGGTGGTTCTGCCTCCCCAGGTGAACTCAGAGTGGAGCAAAAGGTGACAGTCACGGCTTAGTAGGTGAGCATGGCCAGGCGAGGGTGAAGGGAACGCAGGCAGGTGGAGCAGGTGAGGGCCCAAGGGAAACTGGACTTGTTTCACCATCCGGGGAGAGGACAGGTAGCTCTGCCCCGCCAGCCCCTGGGAGAGCAGTTCCAGAGCCCCCAGGCCCAGAGGTGCTGGCCTTGGGCAATGGGGTTGCAGGGTCTCTGCTAAGTCCGCTGAGTCCTGGCCTTCCTCACAGTACCCATGAACAGGAAGAGCTGGGCAGGAAGCTCAGGGAGGGCCAGGAGAATTAGCCTGTGAGCCAGCAGCCAGTCCCACCCCTATCCCTTGCTAAAGCGTCCACCGCCCAAACCCACCCAGCCTCTGCACAGCTCCGGAGAAAGAGCCCTGTGGGCATGGGGGCAGAGGGGCTTCTGCTGCGTTCTGGCGGGCCCTCCCTGGCGGGGTGGCCTGGACGTCCCCACCAGAGGACGTAGAGCCTCAGATAGGCCAATCTCTAGCTCCTACAGGCTGATCTCCTGTCCAGGGTGAGGGTGCCCCTGGCACAGGCCTCCAGTTTTTCTAAATGCTTTGGGACATCAGGGGAAATCTCCACCCCACCCCAGCAATTCTGAACTCTCTCTTGTACAGGGAGCAAGGAAGGGGTGCTCCAAAGAACTGAGCATCTCCACTGGTGCTGCCTCTAGTGAAGGAAGTGGGCTGCCTAGACAGACAGGGCTGGGAGTGGAGGGAGTGAGGGTGTTGTGTGAAGAAAGGCGCAGGGCAGGGGGTGGTGTAGAGTCTCCTCCCAGGCTCTCCCGGCTTCAACCCTCCCTCGGCTCAGCAGGGCAGGGGCTGCTGCGGGGAAGGTTAGTCGCCTCCCTGTGGATCCGTGGCCCCAGGCAGCTGAGCTCTGAACTGCAATTCAGCAAGGGCCTCTGGGGCGGGTAATCTGTGCCTCACCAAGCGCCCGTTCTTCATTCCTCGCAGGCTGCCTGACAAATGCCTGGCCAGCGGAGATCAGAGGCAATGCCACGGCAGCTCCGCCCTGTTGTCAGAGCGAGTCACTGGCTGGGAAGATGGATTGGGCCTGGGCCTCGGAGCCAGGGCCATAGCAGCCTCCTTCCGGGACATGGGGAGGGCAGTGCTGAGCCCAGGGCTGCTGCGCTGGGAGAGCCACAGAGGTGCCCGAGTGTCCTAGCCTTGGAAGAAACCCGGGGCTCAGACTCAGTGGCCGCTCCCAGGTCTGGCTGCAGGAGGAGACTCACAGACTGCAGACCCTTCATAGTTTGCCATTGAGTGATTGAGGACTTGGGAAGAAATCCGGTTTACAACTTCGAACCTTCATTCCCAGAGCTTCAACCTGACACTGGAGGGGCAAAGAAGGTGGCATTGGGAGACCGAGGGAGGGGTCTCCCCCAGGCTGGATGGACCTCATGTCTAGAATGGACTGGGATGAGCTGTGTTCAGGAGAGGCAGCTCCCCAAGCCCTGTTTTGGCAGATTTGATTTTCAGTTTGTAGGCATGGGGCCTCAGATGTGAAGGGAAGCTCAGAATTCAGGGAGGTTCGGGGTCCCCTGGCAGGGCAGGGGACCAGGGCAGGGCACCTGCCAGGGGACCCCGAATCTCCCTGAATTCTGAGCTTCCCTTCACAGGGTGCAGGTGAGACCAGGTCAGGAACACTCCTGAAACAGTGGAGGCCCAGCCTGGCCTGTCCCGCTCCTATGGGCTTGCTGGGCTACCTGCTGTCACCCTGAGTGACACCCCAAAGTTCCTCAGCCCTGGGAGGCCTCCAGTCACCATGGCTGCTACTGTCTCTAGATGTCTAAACTTGGTTCCCTTTTCAAGAAATGCTCACTGTCACTTCCCCAAAGGGCTTCTTTGGTGTCACTGAGAGGAATTCCCCCGGTGAGCAGGGCAGCAGAGAGGGGAGAAGAGGGGAACGTCCTGAGCTGGGGAAGTAATGTGTGGCCCCGGAAGCCCTGCCTGCAGCTCTGCACAGACCACACTGTGGAAGATGGAAAATTGGCTTCACTGCCAGCTCTGCTCTTGGCCTGCTGTGTGACCTTGGGAAGGCCCTGGTCTGTCTCTGGACTTGGCTTTGGAAAAAACAGACACAAGACAAAAGTCCCAAGCTTCAGCTCACATGTCAAGGAGCTGTAACTTTTCAGGGGAAGGGGTAAGGGGAGAGCTGTGGCTGACCCTGTTGTTCCCTCCCGCCCCTTGGATAGCTGTTCTTAAGAGAAAAGCTGGGTACACCCCCACAGTCCCTGCAAATACATGCTTGGCGTCCTCCTGGCAGTGAACACAGGCGCCCAGCAAGTGATGAAGGCAGACAAAAAGACACACTTGACAAAGCAAAGGAGATGAGGCTGGCTTGGCCCCGAGCCAGGAGCACGCTGAATTCTCTTGTGGTCTCTGTTTCCTGAATGGCCCATCAATCAGTAACCAAGTGCGTGCCAAACCCAGCCCACACAGGAGCCCGGTGTCCTCTGCTCTGCAGTAAATGCTACTTCAGGCCTTATGTCTAAGGACCATATGCTCCCAACATAGCTAATAAAATCATCCAGGAGTAGCCTGGAGGCCGCAGACACCCGCCCCAGGGGGCAGGAGTGAGACGGGCTAACTGGGCCTCTGCTGTTCCGAGAGTGTTCCTGACCTGCTCTCTCTAGCACCCTGGGCACCTGCCAGGGGACCCTGAATCCCGTGAATTCTGAGCTTGCCTTCACATCTGAGGCCCCACTGCTTATAAGCTACATGAGGGCAGGGATTGCATCTGAAAGTTCACCCACCGATCCCAGTACCTCGCCCCCCTTTGGGCACCTAGTGCACCCTCCATACATGTTTATTGAGTGCACACATGACTGGTTGCCTAGAGGAATGAAGGAGTGATTGATTACCCACCAGGTGGGCCGCCCCTGCCCCTGCTCCATGCCCCCAGGAGCAAGGAAGTTGTTGGGCCGGGGTAGGCAGCTGGGGTGGTCTGAGGTGTGCATGATCCCTTCTTCCTTGGCCTCACAGTTAAGGTCACAGGCTTTGGAATCAGCAGACCTGGGTTTGAGCCCTGGCTTAGCCAATAATGAACTATGCATGTGCAAGCTCCCCTGGAGACTCAGTTTCCCTAAATGGAGAAACCATCTTTAGCCTGTGGACATTCTTTGCGTGAGGTTGATTACCTCTGAGGCTCTTTTTAGCGTTAAGGCGACACTGCGGCTTTTCCTGTGCCTGGCCAGGTATCACTGCCCCTTCCTTCAATGCTTCCGCGTTTGAGAAAGCTCTGTCCCATGCTTGCTTCTCAGGACAAATTGTGCAGGGAGGACAAAGGCCCCTGAGTCTGCCCTCAGACTGGCCAGGTTTAGGGAGAGGCTGGCGCAGCCATGGGCCCCAGCCCAACGCTGTCCCGGACACCACGTGGGCCACAGCGTAGACTTGGCTGGCCCAGCCTTAGGGTCGCCCCGCCTCCTGGGCCTTCTGCCAGCTCAGTGTGGAGTCCCCAGTTCAAAGTCCGCGGAGGGTGGTCTATGACTACCATACCCAAAGCAGGGATAGTTTGTGAAAAAAGTTTCTTGATTATAGATTTCTCCTTTGTGTGTGTGTGTGTACGTGAGTGTGAGATTGTGGGTGAGTGTGAGTTCTGTGAGTGTGAATGTGTCTTTGTGTGTGTGTGTGTACGTGAGTGTGAGGATTGTAAGGGAGTGTGAGTTCTGTGAGTGTGGAATGTGTGTATGGTGCTAAACGTCATACATCCAAATACTGGAAATAAGTGAAGGTGGAATGTATATGTGTGTGTGTTAGTGTGTGATTGTGTGTGGATGAGTGTGTGTAATGCATATAGAGTGTGAATGTGCAGTTACTGTGTGGATTGTGTGAGGTGCAATTATGTGTGTGTATGTGTGTATGTGAATGCATGTGTGGAATGTGAGGGAGTGAATGTGTGTGAGAATGGAATGTGTGTGTATGTGGAATGGAATCTGTGTGGGTATATGTGAATATGTGTGTGAATATGTGTAAGGGAATGTGCAGGAGTGCATGAACGTGGTGGAATGTAAATGTGTGTGTGTGTGAAATGTGAATATGTATGTGGAATGTGTGAATGTGTGTGTATATGAATGTGTGTATGAATGTGTGTGTATGTGAATATGTGTGTATGTGTATGTGAATGTGTGTGTGAATGTGTGTGATTGTGTGTGGATGAGTGTGAGATTGTGCGTCCATGAGTGTGTGCATGTGTATATGAGTGTGCATGAATGTGTTATTTGTTTGTGCAATTGCGTATGTGAATGTGTGTGAGTGTATGTGTGTATGTGAATGTGTGTGCATGAGTGTGTGAATGTGTGTGTGAATGTGTGAGTGAATGTGTGTGAATGTGTGTATGTGAATGTGCGTCTGTGTGTGACGTGTGTGTGAATGTGAATGAGTGTGTGAATGTGTGAATGTGTAAGTGTGCATGTGAATATAAGTGTGGGTGTATATTTGAACGTGTGTGTGAATGTGTGTGACTATCTGTATATGAATGTGTGTGTGTGAATGTGTGTGTATGTGTGAGTGTGTATGTGAATGCGTGTGAGAGAGAGTGTGCATTGCTAGTTGTGCTGGAACTGGGGAGGAGCAGAACAACCCAGGAGGGTGCGTGGGTGGACCTGGCATCTGGAGCCCTGCGCAGCGATTCGGCCTCCTCAGCTGAGAATCAGAGGTCTGTTTTGGAGGACACCATTCGTCTCCTCCAGTAGTTCTTAGAGGCTGGCAAGCACACAGGCTGGGGCAGGGAGTGAGCCCAGCCTCCCGCTTCACTGCGAGACATGACTGGGGTGAAGGGCAGGACCTGTGTAGTGGAGAATTTGGCCGCTGTCTATGTTGCACTGCACAGCAGCCTGCCACGCCACCATCCCGTCCTGTGGCACTAGGGGGAGGCAGACACCAGGTTCCCTGTATGGAGGCCTGGGGCTTCCTTCCGCGGAGGACCGCAGAGACACATCCAGCAGTGGGCCAAGGAGGCGGGATGTCCTCTCCAGCCCTCAGAGCCACGCCCTTCCCCCGCCTTCCCACAGCTCCCACCCTTCCCACACTGCACTTTCCAGGAGTGCAGACGCAGCAGCTGGCCTCCCAAGACCTGTCCCAAGACTTCTCCTGAGCCCGGGGTCTCAGGGCAAGCTTCCGAGGTCGCCTCTCCTGAATCTGAGGCATCCCCAACAGATGTGGAAGATTCGTTCTCTCTGGAAGGATTTTTCCTCCTCTCAAACTTCGAAGTGGAAATGATATGAAGCAGGGGCGGGGCAGTGGCGGAGCTGCTGGAGCAGGATAGACAGGCGTGGGTGTGAGCTTGGCTTGGTCACTGACCAGCTGGGCAGCCCTAGGGAAGTCCTTTAGTGTCCCGGAGCCTCGGTTTTCTCATCTGTGAGATGGGGTTTGTGATATCCAACTCATTAAAGAGACTGAATGAGATCATGTGTGTAAACAAGATATGTACGCCACAAAGTGCTATGAACATGTAAAATGGGTGAGGAACGAAGCAATGTTCACCAAGGCTTCTGCTGGGCTGGGTGTTTGCGTGTTTTTCAGCCATTTATTATTCAGCAAATTTTTGTTGACTATAAGTATATGCCAGACACTTTATTAGTGTTTTTGACAAGCTTAAGTGGATAGTGTTTATGAAACTACAGAACATAAACCTTCTAGTTTATCTTCTAGTCCAGGATTTCCCAAATGCCAGCCCCCAGACCTATGCTAAGCTTCTTACATCCAAATGCTGGGAAATAGAAAATATAGATCCAAGATTCTGTAGCCTGGGATCTCTCTCTCCTCCTCACCTGTGTCTGTGTGCATGTGTAGCTGTGTGGTTTCGGAGCCACTGAGACCCAGAGATGGTAAATGCTGTCAGCGGATAGCATGTCCCATGCCAGGGGCTTCGGGCATGCACCTATTAACTTTTTGAGAGGGGCAGGGACTGCCCAGCCACGGTCTCAGGACTCCTCCTAAGGGTTTGACCCATAGGAACGTGTCGGCAGATTGCCCAGAATATAGAGTCCGAAGGCCTTCTAATCTATATTTTGTCACTTAGTGGCTCTGTCATTTAGTGCCTGCATAATTATCAGCAAGTCACTTGCTATCTGAAGCCTCAATTTCCTCATCTGTAACATGGGGATATTGATGCCTGTCTTGCTGTGGGATCTTCATGTGAGCATACTTTGAAAACTGCAGGCTGGGCGTGGTGGCTCACACCTGTAATCCCACCACTTTGGGCGGCCTAGGCGGGCAAATCACGAAGACAGGAGTTCAGGACCAGCCTGGCCAGCAGAGTGAAACCCCATCTCTACTAAAAATGCAAAAATTAGCTGGGTGTGGTGGCATGCACCTGGAGTCCCAGCTACTCAGGAGGCTGAGACGGGAGAATCATTTGAACCCGGGAGGCAGAGGTCGCAGTGAGCTGAGACCACACTTTTGCACTCTAGCCTGGGTGACAGAGGGAGCAATCCAAAAAAAAAAAGGAAAAGAAAACTGCAAAGCTCCACTTTTTTTTTTAACTCCAATGAAAGCCAGAACCAGACTGAGTTTTCCAGGGAGAAACCCTTCGGGCTGAATTTTCTTCCACTTCTTCCAATTCCAGCTGTATTTAATATTGAAAGATAATCTCCATGGAGGAGCCCCCATCCTGCCCAACAGTTTCTCGTACTCCGTCTTTGGGCGACACCTGCTGGCCATGGCAGGTACTGTGTCCTCCTCTAGCTAAACAACTCGGCGGAGAAAACTTGCCCATCTCCTTAGACATTCACAGCCATGCTGCAGGGTCGGTGTTCTGTTCCCACTTCCACAGATCAAAAAGGTGAGACTTGGTCCTCCCAGCTCATGAGAAGTGCAGTGAATCTCTGACTCCAGGTTCTTGGCTCCATCTCATCCCGACTTCTTGCTCTTAGGCCAGACGGAGTGGGGAGTCATCCCCTCCCAGGCAGAGGAGACCTCCCACCCCACGAATCATTCTGAAGTAGGCACTAAGATTAGAGGCAAGGCCAGGGTTGGAGCCTAGGACAGACCTGGTCAAGAAAGACTCATCCTTATGTCAACAACCCCACCAGGCAGCCACCACATCCAGTTCCCCATCTGCAGAGCAACTAGACTGATGGCAGGGGCTTCAGCCATAAAAATTCACTCTGAGGAGGCAGAGAGATGCCATTTGCTCAGGCTGCGTGGTGAGGAGCTGGGGACAGGCTATCCCCTGAGCCTGTTGCCTCTGTGCCCACTGTGTGGGGCAGTGGCTAGCCTGAAATCTGGCGTGTGGCTTGGGGGAAGCGGGTGCCCCTGGCCAAGGAACTTCTCAGTCAGGAGGCAAAAAGTATTGTGATTGAGAATGAGGACTTGGCCTCATCCTTGAGAGGTGCACACAAAATGATCAATGGATGAAATTATGTAACATGAAATTTGCTTCAGAAAAATTCATGATGATGGGAGGGGAGCATGGATGAAACAAAAAGCTGGCCATGAGTCAACTATTGTAGCATCTGGGAAATGAGTGCATAGTGATTCGTTTTACAATTCTCCCCACTTTTGTATATACTTGCAATTTTCCATGTTCAAACTTTAAAAAAATGTAACAGCAGAAACACTACTACCACCATCAATGTGAATACATAGAATTAGACTGCCTTGAGCATCTGACTCTGCGTGAATTGGAGAACTTAGTTAATTTCTCTATGTCTCAGTTTCGTTGTCTGTAAAATGGGGCTGATCATAATCATACCAGTCTTATAGGGTTGTTTTGAGATTATGCATCTGGAGGAATTAGCATAGTGCTGGGCCCACAGCAAGCACTCAATTATAATCACTGTCATTAGTAGGAATCCAGGGCTCTGGTTATAATTTGCCAAAAGAAGAAGCTACTTTGGCTGGTGCAGACAAACAACTGGCCAGCCAGTTCAGCTTAGAGTTTGGACCGATGAGTCTTTGAGGACACAACTCTGAACTGCTGTGTGCCGGGTGTGTGGGTGTCTCAGATGGGTAGACACACACCGTAGAGTCAAGCTTTCCTGAGACCCCGCAGGGAGGCCTTTTCCCTGCCTCTCTGCACATCTTTCCTATTGTTCGAGCTCAACTCACATCCTCCCTTGGTTTTTGTTGACCACTCCTTTCTCTGAGCTTAAGCAGCTCTCTTCACAGACTCATCGAACCCCTGCTGTAGGTGAGACTGTAAAGATCATCGAACTCAGCCACGTCATCATAGCTTCATTCAACAGACAGTCATCAAAGACCTGCCTTGGGTGCTGAGGATGGAGTGATGAACAAGGTGGGCGAGAGACTGAGGGCAACAGGGCCTGGGAGGGAGGTAAACACCACAAAGCTGAGCACAGACCAGGCAGTCAGGAGCCCTGGACCTAAGTCCTGACTCTGCCATGTGAACTGGGATGCCCTTCACCTGCCGGCCACTGTTTCCTCCTGGGAAGAACAAGAAATTTGCAGGAGATGCTCCCCAGGTCCCTTCACACTCTGACCTGCCAACTCTGAGCATGTAGGCTTCCCTATGTTGCTCTTTAAACATCTTCTTCTCCACTGGAATGCAAGCTCCCTGAGGGCAGGGACTCCGTGCTAGACTTTCCAGGGATCAGGGAACTCCTTGCACGGCGACTGGGCACAGACTTGCCAAAACAATGAGTAAACCAATAAAATGTACTTCCTCCAGGCCAAGTGTGGACTGGAAACGGTGAAAGAACAGAGTTTTTAACCGGGAGAAGCGGGAAATAGATCCCCAAAAACCTCACACTGTACCACTTGGAGATTGACGATGCCCACCAGTGTGTTAAAGCCTGCAGTAAAAAACAAAAACAAAAACAACTCCCACAAAAACCTATTTACCTTTGCTTATTCCAGTCTTTTCCAAACCTATTTGAGCATAGATCATTTTCTGCACCTCACCTGTTACCTTCTCGCGAAACACTTGTGAAATGCTATATTAGATCTTTTCTTTGTTTTCAGCTGGGTTTATTAAAAATAAGGTCAAGTTTGGTAAAGATGCTAGTTTTCAATGTCATTGTGGCCTGAAATAGGAACCTTATTGCTGCATTCTTAGCTGAGCTCTGCCACCCTCACTGGGGCTGGGCCAGGACCTTAGATGACATTCTGAGCCCCCATTGTGTAAGTGCGTGCCATTCGACCCAGGCAACACCTCATTTCCCAACTTTCACCAAATGATGAATGGGATCACGTTTTCTCTCAAATCATCCACATCAGGATTACAGGCCGAGGAGGCCAGTTCAGTAGAAGTTCATGGGATAGTGGTCCAGAGTGATTGGCATGTCAGCCCAGGAAAGCCAACAAAACACTGGACAACAGTAAGAGAAGATCAGCTACCTATTGAGGGGGTGATGTTGCTGGACTGGAGCTGCTCAGATCTCATCTGGATGCACGAGTCTATTCAGTTTTAAGAGAGATTTTTTTTAAATTTTATGAGACAGAGTCTGTCACCCAGTCTGGAGTACAGTGGTGCAATCACAGCTCACTAACATTCTCAGCTTTCCAACCTCAGGCGATCCTCCCACCTCAGCCTCCTTAGTAGCTAGAACTACAGGCATGCGCCACCATGCCTGGCTATTTTTAAATTTTTTTGTAGAGATGGGTCTCTCTATATTGTCCAGGCTGGTCTTGAATTCCTGGGCTCAACTGACCCTCCTACCTCAGCCTCTCAAAGCGCTGGGGTTACAGGCGTGAGCCACCATGCCCAGATGAGATATTGCTAAAGTTGAATATAAGCAAAGAAGGAAACAAGAACAGGGAAAGGTCTATAAATTTAGTCAGAAAAGAAAAAAGATATGCAGCCTGGCAAAAGGAAGGTGTGGGGGCCTGCGGTAGCAGTTCTCGAATATTTGAATAGCTGTCATTTGGTTGAGATTGGGCACATCCTTTGAACTGCAGAGAGCTAAGGCAGATTTGGGCTTGTTAAGAAAAGCATGTGTGCATGACTGTGGGCAATGAAATTAAATAAATGTCTGTGTGGGGAGCAAGCCCCTTGTCCCTGGCAGCATTTGAGAGACTGAGTTGACACCTGTTGGGTCAGTGTAGAAAGCCAGTGGGTGTGAGATGGGGCCAGGTGAGGTGAGCTCTAAGGCACTGCCCCCTCTCAGATTCTGTGACAGAGGAGCCAACATTCCCCATGGTCTCCAGACAACATCTTTGTTCAGCCTCCCTGTCCCAAACTGCAGCCCGCTCACCACTGGGGCACCCCAGGAGCCGTGGCTTTGGCCTCCAGCAGGTGGAATTTCTGGGCAGCACATTTCTCCTGCTCAGAGTGGCTGGAGGGCTTGCTAGCGTTTTGTAGCAACTCCTGGACTTTGAGGAGGGTCTCAGTCCACAACGCTGGTGGCCAGTCACAGCGACAGGTGGGATGCTGCCCTGCAGAGAGACCATGGAAGGCATTAAGACAGCACCAAGGTGTCTCCCGTCCCGAGATCCTCCAGCGCATGGACTGGCAAGTCCAGCCCATGGTGAAGTGGCCAGACTTTCTAGGAAGAGAACTTTCATCATCTAAGTCAAGGTCACCACCATGGGCCTGGGCCTTGACTTTCTCTTCTCTGGAGAGGAAAACCTCTGCAAGGGGGCTTCTGTGTGAACAGCACTTACAAATACATGATTGACATACAGACTCAAGACCTCTGAGGCAAGGGGGGAGCCCTGGCTAGAATCCAAAGAACCTAGTCCCCGGCTACCGTGTGACCCAAGGAAAGCTCCTGGGATGGATTCAGGTTTTGCAGGGCTGGAAGCTTAGATCATTGAGGGCTGGAAGCTTAGACCTCTCTAAGGAAAACAATACACAATTATGAATACAAAATTAGGTAAAATATGATTATTAACATATTAATAATCAAATGTGATTATTAATTTAGAACGATAAAAAGAAATTGCAACAAGTTACAAATCTTGAGAAAACTGATAAATGCCATCATGAAATCCAGACAGATAGCATAATATTTGTATTAACTGACACACCTCAAAAATGCTTTCTAAATTTAAAAAAAAATTTTTTTACATTACTTCTGCTCACAGCTTTACACAGGCTGGCTTCTGGCTCCATGCATTTCAAACTTTGTCTTTCCTACACTACACACACACCTCTGGTGCAGGCACCTGAGGCCACAGTTATACTGTGATACAACTTCTGGCTCTGCAACTTCATGTCACAAAGCACGGTGAGTTGGCCCAGTCGGTGATAGGAGAGTTCCTGCAAGCCTTTCCCTACCCTGGAAGTACATGCATGGCCTGTCAGCCATATAAACACATCCCACCAATCCCAAGCCAGAGTCAGATCCCCTCAAAATGTTCACCAGACCCACCGAGAAGCCAGAGCAGAGAAGGATAGCAGCCGTGATTGACTGTAGTTAAACTTTCTACAAATGCTTTCATATCTGACCATGTGAACACATTACTAGGGCCCAAAAGGAACCTGAAGCTTGAGCTGTGTAAGTGTCATGGTATAAGCATCCCAAATCTGCTTCTGGGGCTCCTCTGATATTCACTCTCTTCATCTATACAATGATCAAAACAATTCTGGCGTATGTATCCAGATCCTTTTTGGTGAGAATCTGAAATGGACGGAAACATAAAGCCTCTGGAACCTAAAAGCGCTGCCTACAGGGTCAAGATGACAACTGTGAAGACCACAGTGATGCAGGCTGAGCAGGAACTGTTGAGACTTCTTTGGTTTTAGGGGTCAGCACTCCTGCGGGGTCTAATGTCCTGCCAAATGCTCACTCTTAGAGACCAGAAACTCTAATACGAGAACTTTCGGCCGGGCGCGGTGGCTCACGCCTGTAATCCCAGCACTTTGGGAGGCCGAGGTGGGTGGATCACCTGAGGTCGGGAGTTCGAGACCAGCCTGACCCACATGGAGAAACCCTATCTCTACTAAAAATACAAAATTAGCCAGGCTCGGGGGCAGATGCCTATAATCCCAGCTACTTGGGAAGGCTGAGGCAGGAGAATTGCTTGAACCTGGGAGGCAGAGGTTGCAGTGAGCCAAGATCGTGCCATTGCACTCCAGCCTGGGCAACAAGAGCAAAACTCCATCTCAAAAACAAAAACAAAAAAACAAAACAAAACAAAAACTTTCAAGCTTAAGGCTTTGATCCCAGCTAAAGGACATTTCTCTGGAAGGCATGGCATGTGAGGCTGTAATCAGATATCTGCCACTTTGTAAGAATGAGCCCATCTGGTCATTAAATCAACATTTACTGAGTGTTCCCCTAGAGCCAGGAGGCACCAGGCTAGGGCCTGCATGTACAAATCGAAAGGGTCAGAGCCCAGTGTCTAGAAGAGGAGACAAGTCAGACACGTGCATAAATAGCCACAATTCTAGACAAAGGGATGAGATCCATGGGCCAAGTAGATGTCTGAGGCAGTGGGAGCCCAGAGGAGGCCTGGTCAGGGATAACTGGGGGTACCTGACCAGGCCCTACTGAATGGGAAGCCTTAAACAGGTGAAAAAGGGGGCACTGGGTACTTGAGAAGGGTGAAGGTTTTCCAGTGTAGAAGACACTTTCATAAAATTTGATAAGCACATTTGTGAGTGACCCATGGGCCAGAAGAAATGCCAGAAGACTTGGGAAGCCAGCAAATTTAGCTCCACTCATTGCACTTTCTTTTTTTCCCTATCTCTCTCAGTTTTCATACCTTCCACACCGCCACTCTCCAGAGAGAAATGTGACAATGAGCTTCAGCTCCATCGAATCCGGACTTCATGAACCCTCTCTGGGTTGGCTTCTCAACCGATTTCAGAGTTGTGAGCTAAGAAAGAACAGCGGGAGAGAGACACAGTTTTCCAGGGGACTCCTGCCTTGCTGGGGGCTTCCACAGCCCCTGACCAACCATCCTGGAGTCACTGCTGAGACAGTAGCCTGAACAAGGGCAATGGGACCTCAGAGACGGCATCGGTACTGTCGGAGCCCCAGGGCTTTCGACCCTTTGCTCCAGTGAGCTTAGAGCCATAATATTATCATTCAGAATGATGACAGAGTAAGTGGCAAGCACACCTAGACATCTTCTGAGCCCAGCAGACAGAATTTTGGTTTAAGGAGAACCTGGGTAGTTTAATGACACACACTATTTTTTTAAATATAGGCATCATACTCTATGAATTGTAATGATTCATCCCATCTCAAGAAGATGGAATTTTAGATGTATGTGGATATATTTGAAGCCAACGCTGTTTATTTTGTGTAATGTTTTTATGCCTATTAGTTTCTGAATATCTGTGCATAAAAGCTTCTGTTTCTCTGCCTGCACACATTTGTGGGTACACCTTATACACCTATGTGGGGTGGGAGGGGGGAATGTGCATATTTGTTTGCATTTACCTTGTGTTTGGTCTTAGGAAGAGATCTTGGTGATCATTCTAGCCCAACTCTTTCACCTCACTGGTGAAGAAACTGAGGTCCAGAAAGGCAAAGGTGACTTGTCACAGATCACACAGCTGGCTATGGAGACAGAGATGACACAAGAACCTAGGATTTCTGATTTGTAGATGAGGACCTTTTCTATAATATTAAAATCAATTATAAATTGCAGGGAGAGAAGCAGGGAGATCCTTGTTTTTTCCTCCCCCAACTGATAAGGAAGTACTAAGAAGGTCAATCTTGAATTAGCTATATAATACCAAAAGTTAAGTTTTTCACACTGACCTGGTTCAGTATTGATTCCTTTTATGAACACCCTATTTATACTCAAGTTGTCAAAGAATTCCAGAGGGCATATGAAGCCTTTGTTAAAATAATTATATGCCTTTGTTTTTGAAGAAAAGTATCCAAAATATATAAGCTTATTGTTTGAGTTAAACAATAAAAACATCTGCTGTTTCTCATGATGGCTCTAGTCTTAATATAACATGGCAAAATAATACCCCCTAAATATCCATGATTAACCTGAATTGGAGAGGGCTCACCTCCCAGTGACTTCATGTAGCTGCTTCAACTGGCTTTGGTTCAAAAAACAAAAACAAAAGCACAAAAGCCAACATATAGACAGATCATCACCCAGCATTCTGATGCAAGAAAATATTAAAACGAATCACTGTTTTTAAATGGATAGTGTGTTCCTACTAGAAAAGAATCCCACAAATTTGAGGCTTAAAAAACATGGAGCATATGCATAGGTGCCAATGCAGAATTTCTGGATCGTGTTCAAATCACATTTAAGCACAGGTGTGCCTGTCATTAAGTGTTTATGTTTACCTGTACACATGAATGTTTGCCTGGGCAACTGTGTTTGTTCTCACTCTGGTGTGAATATATTTGTGTGTGAGTGTGAAGGTTTCCACATAATTTTGGGAACTGTCCATTCTATCAAAATAAAATATAGCCCCTCCAAAATGTCAGCTGAAGAGGGGGCTGTCAAGGTTTAAGGTGGGTGGGCGTAGAACACGCCGCCTGACTCTCTTCCCCACAGTTTCATTTTTCCCTTGGGATTTCCTGGCCTGCTGGATCGCCCACCCCTAATATAACTCCTGTCGAAGAGGAGACTTCTGGATATATCTGAGCCAACCTGTCATTTTCAAAGATATTTCCCTAGATACTAAGGAAGAACAAAATCAATGGGAAACACAAAAAGCATAAGGCCTGACCTGCCTATTTTTCAGGTCCTTCTTTTGTTAGACATTTCTCCAGGCCCTTCCAGCCTCAACGTGCACCTTCCGTGTTTCTGCAGCCTCTTGCCTGGATTTCCAGCTCCTTGGCTCTGGCCTTGTCACAGCATGGAATGCACGATATCATCCCAACATCCCACAGTTCCCTCCTCCCAGCTCCCACAGGTCAAGGTCCTTGTGAGCAAAGCCATTCCCATTCATGATAGTTACCTGTGCTCACGATGTGCCAGCCATGGGGCTTGTCTTAGTTAATCCTCGCTATGACTTTCCAAGGCAGATGCTGGGGATGTCCCCATTCCACTGGTAAGGAAACTGCAGCTTGGCACGCATACATTTCCCAGGCACACAGCTGGCAATTGGTAGAGCTGGGCTGAGAACTCATCTCTAGCTGTTTCCAAAGCCAGGCTCTTAACCATGACATTAAAAAGCTTCCTTTTGCCAGAGGGGTCCCCAGGTCTGCTCTCCCCACCTGACCACCCCTTTATTTCCACATATATGTCACCTCCCAGGGACAGCCAGACTGTAGTCACCGGCACAATGAATGACCTCGCCCTTCAGGTAATGCACATGTTGTGGTTCTTTAAAGCCCACTGCGTGTAACTAGCATAAAACCTCCTACACTCAGGTTGTAGAGGTACTTGGAGTGGATGCAAAGAGGAGGGTCCTTCTCTACTTCCAGTGTGTGGGGCACGGAGCAGCTGTGCTGATACCCCCAGGCCCACTCAGATCCCCTCTCAGCAGACAGCAGCCCCTTTCATCCTGTCTGCCTTAGCGGTTTATTTTAGGCATAGTCTGACCAGGTGCTCTGGGTCAATAGGCTTAGTTTTAAATAACTGGATTCCTCTCAATGACCGTTCCCTTTAGAAGGGAAGCGGCGTGGTAGAAGAATGAGCCAGCAGCCTGGCGGCGGTGGGAGATGGAAGCTAAGACAGAAGACTGGAAACGTGAGGGCTCTGTCACTCCCTGCGTAACCTCAGACAGGCTCATGGCTTCCCCACTCTGGGCCTCAGTTTCCTTATCTATAAAGCAAAAGATTGGTCTGGGTCATCTCGAACACCTCCTGCAGTCTGTCCCCCCATCTCTGTTCTTGCCTGTGTTTCCAGATGACAAGACACATCCTGCAAATTGTTTCAGGGTGGTGATTTCGCATGAAGGAGCTGAGCCACCAAGGGATGCAGCAGCTTATAGAGCAAGCTCTGCTCTGGAGTCGGGAGGCCTGGGTTCTAGTCTTGCTTCTGATACAAACTCGGTGGCCTTGAACAAGCTAAGCCCGGTTTTTCTCACCCGTTTAAAGGATGAACCTTGAAAACATTATGCTGAATGAAATAAGCCAGGCACAAAAGGATACATACTTTATGATTTCACTTATGAGGTACCTAGAATAAGTAACTTCATAGAGACAGAAAGTAGAATGGTGGTTGCCAGGAGCTGGGGGAGGGGAGGAGAAGGGGCAGTTATTATTTAATGGGTGCAGGATTCTGTTTGGGATGATGAAAAAGTTTTGGAAATGGTAAGTGGTGATGGTTGCACATCGTGAATGTATTTGATGCCACAGAATAGTACACTTCAAAAGGTTAAATGGTAAATTTTATGTTATGTGTATTTTAACATATAAAAAACACACACTTTTCAAAATTTAGTTAAAATTTCTAGGGATATTTTGGTAAAACCTGGGAGTGAGGAGTTCCAATTCTCCTGTGTGAACTTAGGCCACACATTTCGAAGAAGTAAATTTTCTTCCTCTGGCAAATGCAGCTAGCCAGCGGCCCCCTTCTTTCCCTCCAAACTTCGCACTCCACACCTTGGAGTGTGCCCAGGTGCAGCCAAATTGTCAGGGCATACTCAAAGCAGCTTCCATGACCCTGCAAAGGGAGCTCCAGTCCTGGCTCATAGGCCATTCCCAGGGGTACCTAGATTCCTTCTCTGGGTTCTACGTACCCTCTTATTTTCGAATTAAGACAAAAGGAGGGCTTTCCAACCATATTGACCTTTTACAGCACACCTGGCTCAGCCATGCTTGAGTCCCCAGTGCCTGAGCCAGTGCCTGACACAGCAGGTTCTCAACATTCATTTGGTCACTGAGAAGACGCCCTCACTCCAGTCCTATTCTATGCCAACTTCATAAAGATGAGTGTAAGGAATAAGCTGATTTCTGCCAGGCAAGAAAGCTATAGGGGTGGGTAGGTGAAGATGAAGAAGGAAGATACACAGGTAGAGTAGACATTAAACTGCTCACTGCAAATAATCGTTTAAATAGTCACAATGTGCCAAGTGCTGAGGAAAATTCGAACATAGTGCTAGGGGGTGGCTGGACTCATCTGGGGCTCTCCGGAGGGCAGGCTTGCGGAAGTCATGAGGGGTTGAAAAGGCAGCTACGAACTTTGGGGTGGGGAGTAGCACCAGACAGCACTGAAAAGCCTGGGATTCTACCCAGAGCACCCATGCTCCTCCCGGGGGGTAAGCTGAGTCCGAAAGAGGCAGCAAGCTCGTGTCCCAGGTGACTTAGGCCAGTAGAAACCGGGCGTCCTTGGCCGAGGCATGGCAGGCTCTTGGCACATGGATGACACATGCGTGTGTGCTACCACAGGCTCCAAGCCGGTGGGTGACAGGGACCCCTCGCCTCTCAGACAGCGGAGCCGGGTCGGGGCCTTCTGGCCCGGGCCGCTGCCCCTGTTCCTGGGCTTGTGGGGCTGGGGTCCGTCTGGGCTCCGGGCTCGCGCGGCGCTCACCACCCGGGGTGCCGCGGGGGGGCGGGGAGAGCGGCCGCCTAGCCCAGCCCCGCGGATGACAGGAGCCGGGGAGCCGAGGAGGGAGGAGCCGCCGCCGCAGCCGAGCGCTGGGCTGAGGAGCAGAGAGAGCGGGGCGCGGAGTGCGGGCGGCTGGGAGCGCGCTGAGCGGGGGAGAGGCGCTGCCGCACGGCCGGCCACAGGACCACCTCCCCGGAGAATAGGGCCTCTTTATGGCATGTGGCTGGTAACTTTCCTCCTGCTCCTGGACTCTTTACACAAAGGTGAGACCTGCGCGGGCGGCTGGGCGGCGGAGGCGGCGGGGCCAGGGTGGCGCGGCTGGCGGCGAGGCGGGGTGCCTGACGGGCTCCAGGTGCCTGGGGGAACCGACGGGGTGCAAGGCCTCGGGTGGGGCGCAGCGGGGCGGGGCAGGCACCCTGACAGGGGCCGAGTGAGAGTCAGCTGCCGACCGCTCCACCAGTCACCCGCGTCTGCCGTTTTGGGGCGCGCCCGTAGGGTGGTGGCGAAGGAGCCCCTCATCTCTCGGCTCCCCGCCGGGCGGCAGTTCTGCCCTGGACCCCTCCCCCAGCCCCTTGCCCGCTTCCTGCGGTTTGGTGGCGCTGGGACCCCGGAGTGCCCTCCGAGTCGAGGGGTCCTCAGGCCGTGACTCTTGACCTAGGAATCCTCGCTTATTCGGGCCTCGGACTCGGCGGTTGATGTCTCCGCTATGTGCGTGCGCCCCTCTCCTGCCGCGGACCCCAGCCCTGGCGCGAATGTTGGCGCACCGCATGGCGCTTATCCGCGCATTGGCTGGAGGCAGGGTGTGGATAGTGAGAGTCCGGAGAGCTGGAGGTCCCTCGGATAGCAAGTTTGTTCTCCAAACCCAGAGGTCACCCTCCTCCGGCCCCACCTCACCCCTCTGCCCCGGCGCTAGCCCCGGCTTGGTGCGCCACCATGGCCACCTCGGGCAGCGCACCCCAAGGTGCGAGATTCTCCGCTTCCGCGCCTGGCCAGTTGGACCTGGGGACAAGTCTTCAGGCTGGGGGGCGTGTCCTTCTTCCTGGAGAGAGAGGGTTGCTGGGGGTGGGTCCAGGTGGCCGGCATGTCCAGACCTGTGGCTGGGGCGCAGCGTACCTGATCCGCGAGGTAGCCGGGACCCGGAGGTTGGAAGAGGGCAGACATTTCCGACTGAAGTCACCTGTGCACTGAGTCGGGACCAGGCAGGCGCAAGTAGTCGGGCTTCCAGGCTTCTCAGAGGATGTGCCCCGGGGCGCGCAGATGGCGGGAGATGAGGCGGCCGAACTCCGCGCCCTTGCGCGGTGGAGCACACACGCTCCAACAAGCTCAGCATCACCTGTTCAGCCCTCTAACTTTTCTCCTTCGCTCCCCGGGGCGGCTTCTCTCTTCCTTTGCCCCGGCTATTGCCCTGGTCGGGCGGCAACTCTTGACCCCCAGGCAATGAGGAAGGGCACTCCAGTGGAGGGTTGGCACCCGGGGAGGGGTCCAGCCCTGCCCCGCTGGTGCTCCAGGGGTCTGGAGTCTGCAGCCTGCCGGAGCCCACTGCGATACACCGTGGGCTGGGGGAGGGAGGATAACCCTTATTTGTACATACCGCCGGGTCAAAGCTAGACTCAAGGCCAAGATACTGCTGGCATGGCATTTACTGGGCGATCGGATTGCGGGACAAGGAAGGGTGGCATCCAAAATCGTGGACAAAGTAGTTGAGTTTTTCAGGCCCAGTGGGGTCCCCCGGGTTACACACCAAGGCTGGTCTCTGCTG